TCTGCCGTTTTTGCACAAAAACGGCCATTTTTGTGTAAAAATCTGGTAGTATAGACATAGCCACAGTATTGAGATGGGTTGCTTCCCTGTTGCACTGAGTGGACCAACTATTACAACAGTCGGAAGTTTTTGTGCAAAAACCAGCGGAGCGTCCACACCTCAAGCGCATTTTTGCACAAGAAAATCTACAGTCAATCGACAGAACAGAGGGCTTTTTTCAGTATAGGTAAAACTCCTTCTATGAGGCATAACTCCTTAACGTGTGTGTGGATGCTCAACAGGGGTTTCTTGTGCAAAAAGAGCTTATTACAAAAAGCACAGGTGCTCTGATGGCCATTCTATGGCCATTAGAACTTTCTTGTGCAGTGTCCATGCAGTGTGGACGCTCTCTTGCACAAAAGCACATCGCATTTGCAATGAGCTTTGAGGTGTGGATGAGCTTTTGTGCAAGAAGGTTTTGTGGAAAATCTCTTCTGGAAAAAGCTTCTTACACAAAAAGCCTGCAGTGTAGACAAAGCCTTGATGTCAGAATGCTGGAAGAAGAAAGCTTTTCCCATGACCTTTGGATTGCATGATTTCTGGATTGTATCCTCTGGCCTCCACAGAGAGGAAGTGCCATTTTAGGGGTTAATAAAGTGGATGTGTCAACTGCAGGGCAGTATACACATCCACAATCAATTGAAAATGATTTTGGTTTCTGTATCCCGTAACAGCATTCCCACACATAATGCAAATGTTAATACGTTGCACACTGAAGAAAAAGTCTGTTAGACTAAATCATCTACAAGACTCTTTGCCATGAAAATCCAAATCCCTGTTATCAGCAAATAAATTTTTCACTCCTGGGGGATGTTCTCGAGCTGAAATTCTCCAGGGTCTACCTTCTGTACTTACCACCGCTCATGGAACCCAGGGAATTGTCCATGAATCTTGGCTAAACTGAGAATCTGTAGGGACTGTTCAGGGAAATTATAAAGGTTGGTGTCCAGCAAGCTAAGTGTCAGACATAGGTGACTCATACACTAAATCTCAGGGCTCTGCCTTCCTGTCTCAGAAAGGAAATTTTCTCTCTCTGCTGAGTGGCATTGTGGTGAGTTGCCACTTTCTGCATAACATTTAAAGATAAGGGCAAAGGAAGATTTCCAGGGTTCAAGACAAGAGACCTTTGGGCATACATTCACCAGCCCAGTAGCTTGAATTGTTCGGTATCTTATTCTTGTTATTTGCTAGATAGTCTGCTTTGATTTGTCTGCTGTCCTTGTAATCACCTACAATCTTTTATTGTTAATAATTCGTTTTTATGTTGTAATCCAAACCGAGTATGCCTTTAAGTGAAGTGTTTGGGAGAAAAAGCTCAGGTCAGTGATCACGGTGTGCATTTTGCTCCCCACATTGAGGGAGGAACAAACTGATCAGTGTTTGGACCAGGGCAAGTTGGAACAGCTCTTGGGTTACGGAGCCAGTGGTTATTTTAGCTGCAGCCTTTCTCCGTGGTTGGTTCATGCAGCAGCGGCTCAGAAAGCCCCATGTCACTGCAGGCTGAGTGCATCCCTGTCTGTGTGAACGCTCGTGTAGGTGTAGGACTGGGAGTGGGCTTACAGCTGTCTCCTTCATGCTCCCCAGTCATTCGTGGCTCCCAGAACCTCTGATGCCCCTACCTTCCCCACTGCTCTTTCTCTGCAGGGAGTAAAGTGCCATCCCCAACTCCTGCTCCTTTTGGTGAGGGTTAATCAGTGACTGTGTGTCATCATGAGAAATCTTACCCACATGCTAAAAATGCCAGGGCACCTGAGTGCCTTCTCTTGTTACACCCACCTACACGGTTGTGGTGCTTCATGGAATGCTACACAGGGAGAGCTCACAAGCCGAGTGGGTCACACATTCTATGATGAAAGCAGGCAACTGTGGAACTTGTGAGGACTTAGGTAAATACAACAGTTACATTCAGGAATCACTGACTGAAACAGAGGGCCACCGGGGCACAGATACTATCTTAGCTTGCTCTGGGACCATTTGTTAGCCTTCTCTGTTAATTGTTAATGGCTAGGGCCGTACGAGGTTTTATGGGTTCATGTCATTATTTTGCTCCCTTAAAACATTCATCCATATCAAACTTCATGAGATCAAACAGCCTCATGAAACGCACATTTAATGTAGACTTCCCAGGCACCGTAGTCTCATGAGGTCATGAGATGCCTTTATCAAACTTCATGAGATCAAACAGCCTCATGAAACGCACACTTAATGTAGACTTCCCAGACACCGTAGTCTCATGAGGTCATGAGGTGCCTTCCATAATCTCAGGCAACAAGTTTTCATGCAAAATGCCTCCAGCTGACTTTTGTAGTTATGCACGTAGATTGCCAAAACTGGAAGGGATGATTTTGATCATCTGCTCTGAATTCTTGTACAGCCCATGCCTGAGAATCCCCCAAACCCTTCCCGGAGCAGATCTTTTACAGATACATTCAACCTCCATGTAGAAATTCTCCATGTTGAAGAATCTGCCATGAGAATTGGCAATGCAATGTGTTCCAAAGGTTGTTATAACAAATTCTCCATGTTGAAGAATCTGCCATGAGGATTGGCAATGTGTCCCAAAGGTTGTTATAACTTTTTTTTAAAAGTGCACCTCAATTCCAGTCAGAATTTATCTTCAACTTCCAGCCATTTGATCATGTTACGTCTCTGTATGCTAAGCTGAAACGCTTAATATTAAATATTGTTCCCCATGGCGATTCTTACAGAAAATTATCAATAACCTCTTAACCGTCTTTGTTGAATTAAATACATTGAGCTCTTTGAGTCTATCATTATAAGGCGGGTTTTTGAGCCTTTACTAATTCTTCTGACCAGTCTTCGTTGAATTAAATACATTGAGCTCTTTGAGCCTATCATTATAAGGCGGGTTTTGGAGCCTTTACTAATTCTTCTGACTCTTCTATGAACCTTCTTCAGTGTTTAAAAAGTTTGTGGATGCCAGAACTGAGCATTGGATTCCAGCCACTTCTATGAACCTTCTTCAGTGTTTAAAAACTTTGTGGATGCCAGAATTGGGCAATGGATTCCAGCCGCAGCTGAATCTGTGCCAAACAGAGGTAAAATGACTTCTCTGCCTTTCCTTGAGATTCCCCTGGTTATTATTCCAGGATCACATTGGCTCTTTTGGCTGCATTGTGAGCATTTTTGAGCTGGTTATTTCTTCATGCCCCCAAATCTTTCAGAGTCATTACACTTCCTACAATAGTCCTGAGTCATGTAAGCATCGTGCGTATCTATATAGTGATATTACAACAAATTGTTTGCTTTGACCCAATTTAACAACCAGTCCAGATGGCTCTGAATCAGTGACCATTGTTTACCATCCCCTAATTTTTCTGTCATCTGCAAACTTCAGACAGGAGAAGGTTTTCTTGCAGGCATGTTTCTCTGTTTACATTTCTCATATAACACCTGTAAGTTGTGTCTCAGACTTAGGCTATGTCTACATTACAATGATCTATTGGTAAAAGGTATGCAAATTGAACTCCGCAATTTGCATACCCTTTTCCAATAGTTTTTTCTGAAGAGACTTTTCTGAAATTTGGCCCATCTACACTGGGTCAAATTTCAGAAAAGTCTCCTCTTTGGGAAGAGCCCTTCTTCCTCGTGGGAGGAGGAAGACAGAGCTTCTGAAAGAACACATCTGCTCTTCTGCAAAAAAAAAAGCAGAAGAGCAGATGCATTACCTGCACACAGCGGAGTTTTTCTGGGACACCTCCGTTATCCCGGAACAACCCTGTAGTGTAGACATAACCAAAGATGGGTGCCTGCAAGAAAGTGTCTCACCAAAAGAAACAGGGGAAGTAACAGAGGTGTAGGCCTGTAGCCCCAAATACCAAGAGCCTTGTGCCTTTCAAGCCCATTCTGTTGAGAAAACTCATAACCCAGCACAATATCTGTTTCCATGGGGGAAACTTGTAGACATTGCGGTAAGAGACAGGGCACATTCTTGACCTCCTGTCTACCAGTAAGATTTTCACAGACTTTAATCCCCTCCTATTAACTCTCTTCATGAGATAAAACTCACATTCTTTTTCATCTCTCTATACATAATAGTTTCCCTGGGCCCTTGATCATTTTCATGGCCCTTTCCCAACCTCCACTAATTTTGAAATATCGTGTGCAAGGTGAGTGCCCAATATTACAGAGAGGAATACAGAAGAATGTGAAATATCAACTGACTGATTTCCTATTACAAATATATTCTGTATAATTTCCCAGTCCACTCCTCCCGGATACCAATATTTTGCTTGTTTTCTGTTCAGAATCTGGGGTTTCACTGAACTAGGACTATGTCTAGACTGCAAGCGGCTTGCTTTTTCGAAAGAAAGCATCCAGTGAGTCTGGATGCTCTCTTTCGAAGAAGCTCTATTTACATTGAAGAACGCCTTCTTTCGAAAGAGGAACTTTCGAAAGAAGGCGTTCTTCCTCGTGAAATGAGGTTTACCGCCATCGAAAGAAAAGCCGCATTCTTTCGATTTAATTTCGAAAGAACGCGGCGTGAGTCTGGACGCAGGGGAAGTTTTTTCGGAAAAAGGCTACTTTTCCCGAAAAAACCCCTGAGTCTGGACACAGCCTAGGTGTCATGACATCCAGTCCCTGTCTTGTGTTCATAGAGTTCTTCGAACCTTATGAGTTGTTTCAAGAGCTCAAAGTTTTCCCTTCAAAAGGCAGACTTTGAAATAGTTGACAAGGAAATGTATCTGTTAATACACTGCCCATTCACCTGGCTTGGTCAGTTCCCTTTGAGGAGGTCTCTGGAACTTGACTATGACCTAAATAATCCGGTGCCATCTGTAAATATCGCACCTCACTGCTCACTTTCATTTCAGATTGTTCATAACGATAAAATATTTACCATAATATTTGGAATAAACCTTGGAAAGCTGTTTCTTTTCTTTTCTCATTTTTCAGGCACCTTGAACATTTCTGAGCCCAACTGATGATTTGATCCTCTCATGGCAGCTTTCAACCTCACCCCCTCTGGCTCTTCAACATTCATTCTAACAGGCATTATTGGCCTGGAAACTGCCCACATTTGGATTTCCATCCCATTCTTTGTGTGCTACATTATTGGACTAATGGGAAATGTCATGCTTCTGTTAGTTGTAGGCAAAGAGGAGACCTTGCACAAGCCGATGTACCTGCTGCTCTGTATGCTGGCACTCACCGACATCGTCACTTCCTCGTCCATCGTACCGAGGGCCCTGTGTATATTTTGGTTCAATTTGAAAGGCATTTCTGTGGATGGCTGCCTCACCCAGATGTTCTTTCTTCATGCCGTGTCTGTGATGCAGTCAGCCATTCTTGTGACAATGGCCTTTGATCGCTACGTTGCCATATGTATCCCTCTGAGATACACCACCATCCTCAGCAACTCCCGAATAGCTAAGCTAGGGATTGTAGGTTTGGTAAGAGCGATTCTCTTCATTCTGCCCCTACCCCTGCTCCTGAACAGGCTGCCGTTCTGTGACAACCACATTATCCCCCACATATATTGCGACCACATGGCTGTGGCGAAGCTGTCCTGTGGGGACATCACATTCAACAAGACGTACGGCTTGGTGATAGCATTTGTAGTTATTGGGTTAGATCTGATGCTCGTCGTCCTGTCCTACGGTCTGATCATCAGGGCCATCCTCAGACTCTCCTCTAGAAATGCCTACCAGAAAGCCGTCAACACCTGCACAACTCACTTGTGTGTGATGCTGATGTCCTGTGTTCTCTTGCTCTTCTCCTCAATGACACATCGGTTTGGTCAGAATACAGCTCCGCACATCCACATCATCCTGGCCACCCTCTACTTCCTTGTTCCCCCCATGTTCAACCCAATAATTTATGGGGTCAAAACCAAAGAGCTTCGTGACAAAGTGGGCAAATACATGTGTAGAGGGTGATTATGGGGGACCAGTTACTTTAAACCAGTATGAAAAGATGGCTAATGGGTATCTAATTGTTAAGCAAGGGTGCTGTGACCAAGCCAATGATAATCCTAACAGGGCATTTCAACCTCTGATGATAGGACTAGAAGCAATGGGCTAAAATTGTAACAAGGGAGGTTTAGGTTGGACATTAGGAAAACACTTCCTAACTGTCAGAATGGTTAAACACTGGAATAAATTGCTGAGAAAGGTTGTGAAATCTCCATCATTGGAGATACTTAAGAACAAGTTAGATAAACATCTATCAGTAATAATCTAGATGGTGCTTGATCCTTCCATGAGCGCAGGGGACTGGACTTGATGACCTCTTAAGGTCCTGTCCAGTTCTAGCATTCTATGATTCCATGATTCTATGCATGGAGACACTATGAATTAATAAAATAGAACACCACATAGTTCAGGATTAATTAGAAAGCAGACTTTCAGATTTAAGGTCAAAATCTATCTGGCAATTTCTGGTAATCAGAGTAAAAGGAGGAGACAGACAAGTAAATAAATTGAGAATGAAAAAAGACAAGTGGATGAAAACTGTGAGTCTATATGCCTCGGATATTAGAATTTCATCAAATGTTATAAAAGTGATGGTCCAGTAGGAGTCATTTTGATCTACCTACGTGTTTGAAGAAGTTATCAAAGATTGACTAATACAGTGTACCCTGGAGCAGTCCTCTGAAGCCATACTGAGATGTTATTCATACTACCCTTTCGCACTGGTGGGTGAGAAATTAGTCACTATGAATCTGCTATCAATTACTTATTCCTGTGTGTGCTTAAATTTAAAACACTGCAGTGTTAAACAAGATTATGCTTACTCAGATTTAGTCCTTGACCAGACAGAATTGCTGTTTTCCTACTGATTATTCCTGACACTGCCTTGATTGCAATAGTTAAGTAATCATTAATGGGGGGCCTGAAAAAGCCAGTAAGACACTGTTGTGTTAAACTACAGGGTGTCCACGCTATACATCCAAGGAACATTAAAAAATGTGGATGTATAGCAAAAGGACATAAGTGGGGAATTTTTCGTTGTGTTAAACTACAGGGTGTCCACGCCATACATCCAAGGAACATTAAAAAACGTGGATGTATAGCAAAAGGACATAAAGTGGGGAATTTTTTCCCCCACGGATGACTTCTGTTTGTGCAAATTGATCTTCTTTTTTTTGTGTGCAACGCAAGAGCAGGGAACGAGAGGGCTTAAAACAGAATAGTTCCCACAAGCATCAACACTGCTTGTGCAGAACCAAAGTATACTGCAGTGACTTATAGCAGGGATGCCTGAACAACATCACCTTGAAGATCAATAATTTAATTCTTTGAACTGTTGACTTGGCAGTCATTTTCAGATGAAACTTTCAAAATACACACTATCTATTCCCGTTGTCAAAGACATCCGATGTGATCAAAGAGATTTCATAATTTAGTTTATAAAACAAATGAAAACAGAGATTACCACAAAATGTCCAGGGGATGGAATCACATTCAGTACTAAGTCCTTCACAACCTAGATTGGCTAATATCTCATTTTTGCCATTGTTTTCTGGAGTCCTCAGACTGTTGAAGCATAAGTGGAGAGTTTTGCTTATGTTTTGCTTCACTGGCCTCTTACTTAGAGAAACCAAGGAGAGCATTTTTGCGTTGAAAGTCTCAAACACACAGATGCTGCAGGGGACAAAGATTTTAGTGAATTTGAATTGTTTGTATGTTCTCTATGAGGTCAAACTCCTGGGCTACGTCTAAACTACATCCCTTTTTCGGAAAAGGGATGTAAATTAGACGTATCGTCATTGCTAATGAAACGGCGATTTAAATGTCCCGCAATTTAAATCTCAGCTGCTTCATTAGCATAAAAATGGCTGCCGCATTTTTTCGGCACGGAGCTTTATCGGAGAAAATCGCCAGTCTAGATGCTGATCTTTCAAAAAATAAAGCCCTTTCTGAAAGATCTCTTATCCCTCATGAAACAGGGTGTCCACGCCATGCATCCAAGGAACATTAAAAAACATGGGGACATATAGTAAAAGGACATAAAGTGGGGAATTTATGAAATAAGGGATAAGGGATCTTTCGGAAAAGGCTTTATTTTTCGAAAGATCAGCGTCTAGACTGGCGCTTTTCTCCGACAAAGCTCCGTACCGAAAAAAAGCAGCAGCCATTTTTATGCTAATGAAGCGCGGGAGATTTAAATCCCCGCTTCATTAGCAATTGCGATATGTCTAATTTACATCCCTTTTCCAAAAAAGGGACGTAGTCTAGACGTAGCTTTGGAGAAGAAATGGAGATTCAGATGAGAACATAGGAATGGCCCTACTGGGTCAGACAAATGATCCATCTAGTCCAGTATCCTCTCTTCAGATAGGGCCAATGCCAGGTGCTTCAGACTGAAAGACCAGAACAGGGCTATAACTGAGGGATCCATCTCCTATCATCCCGTCCCTTCATCAGGTATTCAAAGGCTAGGCACAACCAGAATATGAGGCTGCATCCCTGAACATCTTGGTGAACAGCCATTGATCTAATTATCCTCTATGAGCGTATGTAGTTCTTCTTGAACACCATTATACTTTGGGCCTTCAAACATCCCTGAAAATGTGATCCCCAGGTTGACTATTTTTCCTTTATCTAAACCAGTGAGTGAAGTGTCGGGGGGAATCTCAGCTGTGGCATAAGGAAAGTTCACAGTCTGTTCCTCACACGTCCCATGCCTCTTGACCAAGCCCTGCTTGTACGGCGATACTACGGGTCAGACAATTGCATTGGCTCCGGCATTGGCACCTGTGCTCAGTCTCTTAGCAGCAGGACCTCCCCCCCTCAGCATCTGCCCGTCCATCAGATTCACATCCTGCCTACTGAGTCCTGCCTCCAAGCTCTTCCTTTCTGGTTCTGTCTCCCTGTGTTGTTCGCTGCCGATCCAGAGCCGGGTTCTGGGCCAGCAGAGACAAGCTGAGCCCAAGAGGATCTGGGGCAGAGGGACAAAGCCAGGCTGGTGGACAGCGGCCATGACACAATTCACATGGCAGCCAAACATGATGAGCTGCTGGGACCATGAGAGGAGGGCCCAGCATAGTTAGACATCACTTGAGAGGAGGGCCTTGAAGACTGCACTCAGAGGTGAAGGGCATGAACTCAACGGTAGGGCCAATGCTGGGAAGAAGAGTCCCATCAGCCAGACCAGTCAAGCTTAAACTTGGGTCCTTCCTCTCCAGCATTGTGTCATAAGAACATAAATATGGCCGTACTGGGTCACACCAAAGGTCCATCTAGCCCAGTATCCTGTCTGCCGACAGTGGCCAACACCAGGTGCCCCAGAGGAGGTGGACCAAAGACAATGATCAAGTGATTTGTCTCCTGCCATCCCTCTCCAGCCTCTGACAAACAGAGGCCAAGGACAAACAGTGTCTCTGACAAACAGTGTCTCTCCCACCTGGCTGGCCTTTTGGCTCCACTGCCCCTGTATATGGCTTGGGTGCAACTCACAGTAGCATGTGGCTGACTTCACTGCACAAACACCTTCCCCACCATCATAAACAGTGGAATAGTTCTCCAGGCCATTGTCTGAATGATCATCACTCAGCTTCCGTGTAACGCTTCATTGGGTGCCCAGGGCACAGCAATTGTCTCAAGCAAACAATTGACGGCCATATGCAGAACGGAGATTAGTAGTGTATGTGCATTAGGCGCTGGTCAGTCAAGATAAAATGCTTAGAATCATAGAATCCTAAGGCTGGAAGAGATCTCCAAAGTCATTGAGTCCAGTCCCCTGCCCAAATCAGGACCAATCCCAACTAAACCATCCCAGCCAGGGCTTTGTCAAGCCGGGACTTAAAAACCTCGAGGGATGGAGATTCCACCATCTCCTTAAGTAACTCATTTTTAGCAATGAAATTAAAACTGCAATTAATCACAATAATTTTTAATCTCTCAATTAATTGTGATTAATTTTTAATAGCATGGAAACCCTCTCCTTCCTCTTTGGAACCTCCCTTCAGGAAGTTCAAAGCTACTATCAAATGCCCTCCCCTCACTCTTTTCTTCTGTAGGATAAATAAGCCCAAATCCCTCAGCCTCTCCTCGTTTGTCATTAGCTCTAACCACCTAATCATTTTTGTTGTACTACGCTGGACCCACTCCAATGCATCCACATCCCTTCTGTAATGGGGGCCCCAGAATTGGATGCAATAGTCTAGATGTGCTCTCACCACTACTGAGAAATAATCCCTTCCCTAGATGTGCTGGCAATGCTCCTCCAAAGGCATGCTAAAATGCCATTAACCTTCTTGGCTACAAGGACACACTGTTGACTCATATCCAGCTTCTCATCCACTGTCATCCCCAGGTCCTTTTCTGCTGAACTGCTGCTTAGTCAGTCGGTCTCCAGCTTGTAACAATGCTTGGGATTCTTCTGTCCAAAGTGCAGGACTCTGCACTTGTCTTTGTTGAATCTCATCAGATTTCTTTGTTTCAACCCATTCTACATAGCTCATGATGGGGGAAGTTCCTTTGCAAAGTGAAGCACCAAATAGCTTACAAGATTGTTTGTTTAATTTTTGAGGGAAGTGTCTGGGGAAAATCTCCATTTGGTTAACGCAGGCTTGTTGCAGGCCCATTCCACAGGGAAGGGTGGGTGAATTCTCCAAATCGGTTTACACTATGTATATCCCTGAGCAGTACAAGACAGTATAAAACTGGGTCTATACTCCAGGGAGTGATGTGAGCCTGGGACCTAGGAAATTGGCTGGTGTTAGGAGTATAATAGAATCCTAGGACTAGAAGAGACCTCAGGAGGTCATTGAAACAGGACCAATCCCAACTAAATCAACCCAGCCAGGGCTGTGTCAAGCCAGGACTTAAAAATCACTAGGGATTCCACCAACTCCCTAGGGAACCCATTCTAGTGCCTTACCACCCTCCTACAGAAATAGCTTTTCCTACTCGTACTAGTGATAGTCCCAAAC